TCTCTATATCCCACCCAAAGAACATGGATCCAAAAAATTTTTGTAACTCAATCGTTACATAAAGGGAAATTGGAATAATATAATTGAAGAGAACGAGGAAGCCGAGAAAGTCTTGGACGATCTGCCACGTAGTCGAGTTTGGGAGATAGACATACCATGCCGTTGTGGGTTTGAGAAAATATTTGAGAACGGTGTAAAATGCACTCACAAAAAGCAAAAGTCCTAGAAAGACAAGAAGGAAACTATTCAGTTTTCGTTCAATTTGCGAATACTTCGTTTGCTTTCCTTTTGAATTAAGAGACATCTTTGTGTCTGCTCCTGTGTACACAGCGCAACCGTACACAAAGTCTGTATTTCGCAATTGGGCTCCACGAAGAAGGAGGCATTCAGGACTGACCGGTTGTGTGATGACATTGCTTGATTCATTGATGGTCACCTCAATTTTGCCGAAAAACTTGTAAAAGTCAACGATAGGCTGTTGACAAATTATTCTCCCCTTGAGATTTTTGCTTATCAATTCAGGCGAATCCAATCCTTTTGTTGCCGATATGGCCACAAAGCGCTTAAGATTAGTTTCTCCATCCAGGCTAGCCGTCGTTATGAAACATTCACCGTTTTCTTCACTCGAGCTAATTAAAAGTAAATCGCAGGGGAAGGTTTCATTTGCCCGGACCAGGACAATGTCACCAACCTTAATTTCGTATGCCTTCAACGTAGTTAATTCTCCATTAATATTCACCACTTGGACCGGCGCGTTGTTCACTTCACGGTCAGCACGATGACGAAGCCAATCTTCGTAACCTTGTTTGACCATTGTAAGCAATATGACAAAAACCAGTGGGAGAATTGACGTAATGGGTGAGACAGGCGAGTCAGTGAACAGCTGGACGACGGCGATGCACAAGAAATAGAAGTTGGCAATGCGCTGAGCCTGTTCCTCCAAATTTTGGAAGAAAAATCCGTACCAGGTGTATCTGGATGTACTAATCTCATTGTTTCCATAGAGTTTCTTTAGGGAATAAGGTTCAGACACAAATGTGGACTGGGAAACAGGACCAACGGGTATGATACGGTTTTCAGGAAGAGGGGGTCTTTTTAGACCAACTCTAATTTTCAGTTTATTCCAGCAGTTGACCATGATTGTGTTGCTTTGAGACGCGGTTGGAGCTCATATTTTAGACCACTTAAACAGGCCCTGTGGCCAATGAGCAATTTGTAACCACGCGATCCAGGCCTGGTCGAGACACCTTGTTTAATTCTGTGCAAGGTCGTGAATGTGTATATGCTCGAATAAACAAAGGACTTCATAAAGGTCCTTATGAAGATAAGAAAGTTGTTTTTCTCTGGGAAAGCTCACCGACAGAAAGAACAATCTACCGGCAGAAGTGTGGCAGCCATTAAAAAAGTTAAAAATGGGGCTGGATGATTGCGCTCTCTTTGGAACGACCAGTTGCAGAAGCCCTCAAAAAATGCTTATCAATAAGTGCACAAACTTTACCAAAGACAGGAGGAGGAGCGAAACTGCTGCAAAATATGACTTAAATCACGCATAAGCTATCCAGGCAGTATGCTGCCATCACTATATGTTGGCACCCTCTCCGACGCAAAATTAAATGGCCCTTATTCAGAACTTACCTTAACCCTGAAGTGCACCTAACGTTCCACCTGACCAAGGCAAAGAGTAGAATAGCTAATACCTAGCCCGCTTATTCAGCCGATACCTCCTAAAACCCGAGGATGCTTGGACAAATTCCAGATGCATTTATGCCCCGGAGAGCTAGGTTGTTTATTATAAAGCGCACTACCGTTTTATTAAAGCTGTCGCTAGGAAACTGACAACCAACAAAGTTACTGCTATAACAGGTCTGGTTGAACCTTGTGCAGCAGCCTTATTGACCCACATTTGATGCGAGGTGGATAAGCTGATTATGATTCCTCGCTGCAAACAATCGCTGAAAGGACCCATATGTAGCTAGAGACGTATAACTTCGAACTGTATAGATTCTTACCCGCTAAACCTGGAGAAAGTTGATGTATTTAGATGCCTAGGAAGCTCGGTATGGTTTCCGCAATCAGTTATCATCGTGCTCGGCAACAAGGTGAAGAAGACGTTATTCAGGCTGGAACCGATGAAACGCGCCATTTAAGTTTCTTTGGATCTAGGCATGAGGAAGTACTCGTAAGCCTCGCCGCGCAGCATTCAGGGATAAAACAACTATAGTGTGAGCAGAGTACCTGCAGTTCCTCAGAGGGAACCACAGCGAGTGGAATCACCCATATAAGGTTAGAACATCTTTATGTTCTTCTTAAGGAAAGGCCTTAATCATTCCACGTTCAGGCTTGCATTCAAAGACAAATCCATAAATTTTGGGGGATTCCGTAGTAGTGATATCAAAAATTATCTCATGAATCCCTGCCATTGCCTCTTACTAAGTTAAAAAGGGGAGAGTTCACACATCCTGCCGCTGCCATGCAAAAAAGCCTAAGTGATTGACCGTGAAGGTTTGTCGTCGATTAGGGAAACATCCCTTTCTGAAAATCTTTGGGAGAATACCTATTTCCCGAAGAGATATGGAAGATCAGGTCAGTTGGAGCGAAACTATAAAGACAAATGAGGATGTGAGAACGAACTGCCATCTTAATGAGCCTGTGGGAGCTAGGCAGTGGCAGACCTAATGCGAGACCAGCAACTGTGGTCAGACATCGAAGTTCCAGTGAGCACAACGGAGTCCTAGTGGGCTTAATGGTGAACAAAGAGGAGACTGTTTAAAACTTCCGCGTCAGTATGACAAAGACTACTTCTGTGGAATGTTGGTTGGAGAGGGCACCTCTTTTTCTGAAGAAAACGATGCATGCACTGAAAAAATCGAGGTTACTGCTGAAGGATCGTGGGATATAAAAGCGCATACGGAGGGAGAAATTCGAGCCGATAGGGTAAATTGGCGGCAAAGGCTTCTCAAGTACATAGTCGTTATCTTTCGTAAGCATGGAGAAAGTTGCCAAAATATGGAGAAAATAAAGGTTAATCGAGGCAGTGTTAAAGGGAAGGCGCCGTTCCCTCTTAAAGCGTGTTGAATAATTGATCATTTGATACCGATTGGCAGATTATTTCGAAGAAAGCAAAAGAAATGAACGCTGAAAGTTGGACGAGTCTGGAGGTGGTATAAACAAGGAAGAAGTACGAAGGTTGTATTGGCAACCAACAGGCTTAAGGACTAAAATGCAATGAAAACTTGGCTACAATTTATGGGACAATGGAGACAAAATCCTGCTTCTTGTTCAGAAGATGAAGATGCGATCACTGGGACAAGAAGTTTATTGGCCTGACGTTTCGGGTTCTCACTCGAGCCCATCATCAG